ATGTTTGGTGGTATGCAGATTCGAACCCGCGACCCTCAGATTGTGAGTCGAGCGTCTTATCCACCTGGTCATGCCGGGCCCCATATGTTAAGAAGTATCAAATAGATATAAATCTTTATTTACTAGCATGAAATCATCATTTTAAAAAATAAATTTAAATTTAATAAAATTAATTTGGCTTACCTTTAAAATACAATATAAAATGTTCAGTCAAGGCATTTTTCAGATCTTCAACAACTTAAAGCTTGAATAATTCTCAAATGGTTATCAGAAAGTTCCAGATATCTGAGATTTGGAGTTCCGAAGAAAGCGTGGTCGGGTAGTTCCTTCAGGCGGTTGTGGTTCAGGTAGAGGGTGCTTAAAAGTTGAAGTCCATCAAACGCATGTGGACTGATCTGTGAAATGTAGTTGTCTTTCAGGTCGAGTTCCTGGAGCCTCGGGGTGCCGTGGAAGACATGGTCTCCTAGAATAGTTATATGATTTTTGTAGAGGTCGAGACGACGGAGACTTTTGAGTCCAGCTAAACTTTTCGGACTGAGTTGTCTGATCTTATTATCCCACAATTCCAGTTCAGAGAGATTAGGCAAATGAATAAAAGCATCGTCTTCAATCCACGTTATATTATTTCTATCCAAAAAAAGAAATGTCAAACGTGGTAAATGATTGAAAGATGCCTTTTTTAATTCTTCTATGTAATTTTCACTGAGAGAAAGTCTTGTCAGGACTAAAAGATTTGAAAAAGCGTATTTTCTTAATCCAGTAATTTCGTTTCTTTCTAAAATAATGGTCCGCAAGTGATCTTTATAAGCAAAGCTGTTTTTCTCCAAAACTCCCAGTGATGATTCCTTGATATAGATTTCTTCCACCAGTGGTATTCTTGCTAGGGTTTCCATTGGAACAAACTGAAGAGGATCAGAAGGGCGAGAGGTGAGCATAAATGTGGTAACTCTACTCTGCCTACTGAAACTCTTCCAGAACTCATTCTTGCGATCTACAGGACCAAATATATAACACGAGATGTCGGTCGCTTCGTCCATCCCATCTTTGTCACAGGTACAATAAACTGAATTATTAGCAGAAGCAGAATTGCATAGAACGATGTTTTCACCGTCCACTTCCCCCTTCGACTGACACCACAGCATCGCTAATAGATACAGAATCTTCCACAGTTTTTTCAATTCCATTCTTCTAACTATCTTCCCTAAAAAGCAAAAAATATTAAATTATATATGTATATAACAAAATCTTCATACAAAGTGTTTAATTACACAGACCTGCGGATTTAAACTTCATAAAAATTGTTTTGGTTTTAATAACGGATTTCCCATAATTCAGCTACGCAGATTTCGAAAATAGTATTAATTTTTTTCTATCACGTAAGGATTTTTACATATCAAGGGGGGGGGGATCTTACTTAAATCAAATTATTATTTCGTTTATCACAATGAACATTATTTA